TCTCCCTCCAAGAAAGACATAACAAATAGAACAAAAATGTTACTGTAAAACTTAATGTAAAAAAATTTTACTGTTTCACTTTTTAAAAAAATTAAAAGCTGATATCTCAAATCTATTATTGTAATTCAAAAAGATTTTTTTTCAACCTTAATAAAAACAGATTTTCTATACAATTTAACCACTTATTATTTATACATATTGAAATGAAAAATAGAGAACTAAACAGGTTGCAGAAAAACAAAATCAAGCTTTACAAAAATTATAATTTCTTTAGATTTAATTCAAAAGTAGAACTTTCTCAGCAACATATTTTTCTCCTTAGATTACATTTATTGTTTACAATTGTATAAACTAATAATCAGAAATAAGGATAGCAGTTATCTATTGAACAGTGCATTTAACTTTAAAAATACTTTATTACATTTACCTTTGTATTCCTTAAATTTAAAAAATTAGCAAACAAATTCGAAAATTGATCATGTAAACATATAGGAAATGGGTAACCATCTTTTTTTCCTCGCTCCATAAAAAAAATAATTCCTCTAATGACAGCAAATTGAAAATTTTCAGTTGTATCAAAGAATCTGGATCCAACAACAGCCTAAACAACAAACGGACAATTTAAAAGATAATAATCTCAATATTATGAAAATCAATAAGATTAAGATTAATATATATATATATAACAATTTAGGAAATAAGAAAAAATTAATCCCTAAAGCAATTAGAAATAAATATAGAAAATAAATCAATGTTTTCAATAAAAGAGTTATAAAAAAAATGAAAAGCATTTTCTACCAAGAAAAATTAGGAGATTGCCTTTTCAAAGACATATTAACATACACATCAGAAAATATGTGGTATGGATTTTTAATATTTACCAGAATATATAACTAATATTTTACAAAATTTCTATGAGGCTTATTTAAATTACAAAAAAGAAAGTGTGTTAAGATTCTTTTATTATTATATTTAATGGCAATTGCCAAGACATTGTATTTCCTTCCTCAAAATTATGCAATTTAACAAAGAGTTTTCATAATTTCCTAAAATACCTGATTTTGGACTCTTGCATTATTAAAATTACATTGCAGAAATAAAATATGTGGAAGTGACTTATTAAAAGTTGTGATTTAAAAAAATCAGAAAAGTCTTATTAACAAATAAAGATTAATCACTAGTTAGCTAATCACTAAAATGAAAAACCAGTTTTTAAAATTTTCTTTAAATTCTAAAAGGTTAATTTACTTAAATTTAAACTACAATATTTTTAACAGAATTATAATTTTAAAAAATACCTCAATCAAAACTTGCAACATTTTACCAAGGGTTGAAGTCATTAACATAAATTTGCTTTCTGGTTTAGTAATTTTTTCCATAAGTACAATTAAGAATAGTGCAGTGGCATCTTCTATGGATTGCAAGTCTCTGAAAAAACATGAATTTTTACACAGATATTAAAAATAATTCAAACTAGCATTATCTTATTAATATAATGTTATTAATTATTAAATATTGTTATTTTGACCATATTTAAATTGATACAAAATGCTTCATTTGAACTTATTTAAACTAATCAAGCAAAAAAAAATCAGAGAAATGCTAAGTAATATATAATTTATTTAGATAATTTAAAAGGAAAACACACACACACACAAAACCAAAATGAATCTTTCTCATTAACAATTACAAAAATAATAATGAGTGCTTTAGTACTATTTGCATTGAATTCCAATTACAAAATTAAAGTACATCAGAGGTCTAATTTGTTCTAGTAAAATAAAAATTTAGAATAAAAAAACAAAACACAAATTATTGTAACTATGTTCTTGGAGAAGAGAGAAAACAATGCTCTCAATGGTTACCTCACCCTTAATGGGTTTTCTCTTGATTGTGTGAAAGAACTAAAACATCTTGGTGTTGCCTTGACAGTAAATTCTGTTGGAAACAACACGTTTTGCATCTTTCAAATAAATGTGAAAAAATTCAGCTAGGGCTTAATAAAGTTGCCAGAAATAGCTTTGGGATCAAGTCCAATGTATCATCCCTCATTTATAAACAAGACATTGTTCCATTTATTTGTTATGACTCACAAATCTGGGGCTCCACCTTGAAGAAAATAAATTTTCAGGTTTTGCGAAAAATTCAACGAAGAATACTTCTCTGAGTTATTTCTAGGTATCAAACGATATCCTATGAAGCTGTGCTTGCTATTTCGGGCTTTCCACCTATTAACATCTTTATTATCAGAAATAATGAATTCAAGATTGCAATAAAGAACTGTACCAATAAGAGTCTAGATGGTTCCCTGAGAGTTTCTGAGCTCCCTCATCCTTCTGAACGATTTCCCCTTAACTTGGTTAATTACCGTAAAAATATTGAAAACAACTTTCCAGTTGTCTGCTTTACAGATGGTAGCAAAATCAACAATAAGGTTGGCCTTTCATTTGTTATCTTCCGAGATTTTATTGAAATTGAAAGTCGCCAATTTAGAATGAGATGAGTGTAGTGTGTTTCAGGCTGAATTACTTTGCATAGCTCAAGCAGTCTCTTGCATCTGCAATAACAAAATCCTTTCATCGAATTTCTTAATTTGCAGCGATTCCCTATCATCTTTGTGGGCCTTAAATAACATTAATTCCCAAAATAAACAAATTGTTAAAACGCATATTAATCTCAATTTTCTTCGAAGCAGAGGAGTACAAGTTTTCTTTTCTTTTGTTCGAGGACATACAGGAATCTATGGCAATGAGCGTGCTGACTGGCTTGCAAAAGAAGCAACAAAATTAAGCGATCTGATTCCTATGAGCATTCCAAAATCATATCATAAGAAAGTTTTTAATGAAAAGATTATTTCCGAGTGGACTAACTTGTATCAAATTTCAAATAATGCACATCTCACCAAGGAATTTATTCCTTCTATTCAGAGACGTTTAAAGGCTAAGCACTTTCATCCTAACTTTAAACTTACCCTGTTTCTAACTGGGCATGGAAACTTTAAAGCCTATTTAAAGCGCTTCAATTTGTCGCCTACTCTGACCAGTGTTCTTGCTCCAGTGACACAATCCAGAATGCCAAGCACCGGATTCTTGCTTGTACTAAATTCTCTTCAGAAAGACATACACTCATGAATTGCCTACAAAAGAACAATATAGTGTGGCCTCCTCCTTTCTCTGCCTTTGTTGAAGGAAAATAATCTTTTACATCGTTTTGTGCATACATTAATAGCATTTTTTCCTGTATTATTTAGATTCTAAATTTTGTTTGTTAACATTTTCTGTATGTGAATTTACATGCATATATGTGTGTGTATATATATATGTGTGTGTGTGTGTGTATGCATGTATATATATGTATGCTTTATGTATTTGTATTTTGAAAATTTTTTGTAATAATGTTTTCTTATCTTCCTCATTGTATAATTTTATTATTGATTATCTTCGTTTGCATGTGAGCAATCTTGTATTTAATTCTGTATTTGTTGTATTTGTATCCACTTTTTCTCCCCCTTTTGGTTCCCATTTGTGCCTATATCCTTCTACATGTAACTTCCATTGTTTTGAGTATTGACTAACGTTTGTGAGCCTTGTGTTATACTTGTCGGCACACAAGGAGTCTAACTAGTCTCAAAAAAAAAAAATTATTGTAACAACTATTACTTTATATTAAAATGTGTATTTAGCATGATTTGATGGCCTTCGTTGTGCTATTTAAAGTATAATGCATTTTAATAATAATCTAAGTAATTAAATTTCTCTTTTTATATTATAGAAAAATTACGTTAATTAAAAATACATTACACTTAACTAAAAATTAACTCCTAAGACAGTGTATTATTCTTCAAAATGCAAAGGTAAAAGGAATATGCTCCAATTATACAAATTTTAAGCACTAATGAAATTTTTAATAAATAACATAGTCACACACACATTTCTTTAATTAATAAGAAAATGAAGCTAAATTTTGAATGGTTAATATCATTGATTACAGCAATGATTACAAAACAAAGAAAATTCAAAATGAGAACAGTTTTTTTTCAAATTGCTTACATAAAAAAAACCCCCAAAAATGTAAATTTCTCATAGTATAACTGTAAAGATCCTTTTTTTATTCATCATGAGATTTATAGATCAATGATAAGCATAAAAGGAGTACATAAAAGTGCATAGAAAACTGCATCACAGCAATTTGTAAAGTAACAATTTGTCTAATTTCACTGTAAGACTAGGTAATCTTAAAATTTATATTTGCTTTTTAATGTATCAAGACAACATTTCCCCATACAACTGTAAATAAACCCAATAAGTGTTATCAATAAAAAACCCATTGTATTCAGGTTTTTGTTTCAATTATCTGAAAGTTTCTATTTAATCAAAATGTCTTATTTTGTTACAAGAAAAGAAGTTTTAATTAAAATTGCTAAAACAAAACACATGAAAAATAGACTGTCATTTAAATTTTTGACACTTATTTGGTAATTTCAATACATTGTTTCCTATTAAGTTTATAAAAAGAAATTCTAGTATTATACAATGTTTATAAAATCAACATATAACCTTCCCAAAACTTGATGTACTCAGTTTAAATTTTAATAAAAATGTTTAAAAATAGGAACAAAATGTGTTCGTTGCATTATTGTGCAATTTATTACAAGCTGTTTTATTTAAATGAAAGTAATATTTTACATTCTAGGAAAAAGTTAAACTTTAAAGGTAAACTTGAAAATACAATTCTTTTTTAATTCCTACTAGTCATTTACACTCACTTTATATATATTTATTTATATACATATATATCTTGTTCAAATTTTCAATTGTTAATAAAATACTTTTTATTCATCCACTCAAATCAAATACATTTTTTTAACATGTAGTGGATCACACTTGATGTTAATACAGTTTTTTCAAATATTAATTCATTAATTAAATTTAATTAATGAATAAAGAGAAACAAACAAAAATAATAGTCCAATACTATATTTAAAAAGGAAAATCGCTCGTGTCCCTGTAGCGCAATAGATAGCATGTTGGACTTCTAATCCAAAGGTCGTGGGCTTGAATCCCACCTGGGATGGCTTAATTTCTGAGAATGTAATTTATTTTTACTATACCACTTTATTCCAATAATTAAATTTAATTAATGAATAAATATCAACAAACAAAAATTTTAGTCCAACACCATATATAGAAAGGAAAATGGAAAACTGCAAGAAAAATTGCTTTCTATTTTGCCACTTAATATTGTGATTCTATCATATGTATATACATATATATATTAATTGTAATCATTTAGTAAAAAGTAACTAAAATAAAATTGTTATTCGTTGACCTAAGTAGGAATTGACTAATTTTTTTTTTACATTACTTGTTTTATTTTAATTTACTTTGAATTAACCTTGCTCTTCAGCAACCTGAAAAATGTTGATAAATGATCTAATTATTTTAAACATATATATATGATTTAATAATGAAGATGACATAAAACTGTAAATAAACCTAATAAAACAATATGTCACCCATAAAAACATGGTATTTAAGCTTTTGTCACTATTCCTTGAAAATTGTCCATTTAATCAAACTCTTAATTTTATAATAAAAAAGACATCTACTTCAGACATGTATCCTTCTCCCCTTTTAACAATGAGTAGTTGTCATTTTCTATCTTATGAGGTAAGCTTTATAAGTAATTTTGCCAAAGGTGTTAAGAATGTGCATAATATTACAAAAGATTATATTTAAGGAAAAATTATATTTTATGTGTGTGATAATTTCTCTTTTTAAAAGAACACATTATTTTGTATTTTTGTTTGTTAAATTGTGACAGCAGTGATAAATTTTGCCATATTTTTCCATTTTTACATTTAACATGAAAAATTAAATTGTGATACACTTAAAGTTGCTAATAATGCAATTACATGAGTTTTGCAGCAAAAATTTCAAATTGAAAACATATGAATTCCATAATCAAAAGAATATCAATGGAAAAAGAAACTATAACTATATTTGATGTGAATAAATTAAACAAAAAATACTTTACCTAGAAACTCGATTACATAATGTATAACATGCTGAAGGACTAAATTAAAATGGATAACAAACTTTGACTGCTGAAGGAACAAATAATAGAAAAGATCTAATATGAAACTAGATATATTTAAAAATCTGCTTTGTTGAATTTCTTACATTAACACATATAGAGCATTTTTTCTCAGAAAAGGCAATGCTTTTTTGTATTATGATTTTTTACCCCTAAAACTCACAAAAAAAAAAAAAGAGGAAGCAATAAATCAAATATTATATGTTCAAGTTTTACGTTTCTATCTCCTTTCTTAATTTTGTTTAACTTAAAATAATAAGATTAAATTCATACAGCTTAAAATCTATTAAAAAATTATATACTAACTCCGAAATACATTCTTCGGAAGAGCAGCAAAAATTAATAACTGCTTCAATACAATCAAATAGATAGTTGACAGCATTTATTGAAAACATCAAACCTTGTTCTTGTACTAATGATGTGATTGCAATTACAGATTCCTGAAAGTTAATACACAACATAAGCAATTTTAAAAAATTCCTACAAATTGTATAGTTGAAAATGTTTTAAAAAGTTAGAAAGGCAATATATTTTTAGAATATTGAGGACTATTGCAATATTATGAAAGAGCATATAAATAAATTATATATATATATATATATATATATATAATAAACAAACACACATAAATATACAACAGAATGAATCGATTTTTTTCAATTACCTTATTTTCCTGTACATAATTCACAGCGGCACCTTTTTTTAAGTAAAAAAAACAAAACATTGTATAATTCGCAGCAGCGTATAATCCGCAGCAGTTTTAAGGCGAATAATCCAAAATATAAACTGCAGATAATGAGTATCATATAAGATAAAAAATACACATAATTAATAATAGAAGTAAGAAATTGTACAGGAAAATTTTTTATTATGAAACGTCTTTTTAAATATGTGTGATAATACTTTTTACGATAATCTCAATAAAACAAAAAAAATTCTTTGCTACTGCCATATATGTTTTAAGTTGTTAAACAAAACATTCCACGTGAAAAAATCTTTAGAAAGTTAACAGCAAAAAAATTAAGATTGAGACTGCTTTTCTTTTAAAATCCATTTATTTATTTCTTCCTCTAATTCTTGCCAGTGAGGTTTTCCACGACGAATGGCTCTTTAACGTCGATTACAATTTTTGAAGTTGGTCTAATTTTTTCTCCACAAACGAATATTCGATTCGTCAACGTTGAAAAACCTTGCAGCTTCCCAATTTCTGACTTCGGTAGCCTTCTCTATGACTTTTAACTTGAAGTTTGCGTTCAACATGATGAAAACTTTCAAAGGACGTAATAGCTCTAGTCAAGAGAAAATTGGAAATGGCGCCAGTGACTAGTGACTGTTTTTTCCTTCCGAGGAATCGAATTAATTTTTGAATGTAATTGGACAAAAACTAGTTATGGCTGAAATATGTCATCTGAGTCATGAAGAGACACCATCTATTATTTATTTTATTAGATATAAACAGTATTTCTTTCAAAACTTTATTGTTAGCTTTTCTGTTGGAGAATGTTTTTTCTCAGATAATTCACGGTGGCGTATAATACGAACAATGAAATTTGAAACTTTTTGAACACATATTCTACGGATTATATACAGGAAAATATGGTAACTTAATAAGATTTTTGTGTAACATATCTTTGTGGATAGTAAGATTTTGACTGCTGAAACTAAGAGAAAGCAAGTATACTACCTTAATACAGTAGATATACAAAAATTATACTTCTTGACAACTATTAAGATATATCCAACTTATTAAAAACTGACAAAGCATAACTTCAAAAAAAAAATAAACGTAGAGAGTGGTGTTGGATATAAGATCTTTATTTGTATAGAAAATATAACTGTTAGTTTCTGAGAACACTACTGCAATTTTCCCATACATATGACAAAAAGTTGAATACACCCAAGAAATCATCTGAATCAGTAAGGTTATAGCTAAGCAGAAGGGCATCACTCTCAGTAATATATTGAGTTCAAACAATTGGCAACTAATAAAGCATGCACTTTCCATGTAAAGAGTTTCAACTTGGCATTTTCCATGAATTAAAAAGTTAGTACAGATGAAAAAAGTAACAGCTTCAGTGAATAAAGGTTTTCTTAAATTTACACATCTCTCTTTTGATGTAAAATACTTTCTGTTGAGTCAGGGACTCAGAAGTGTATTTAATTTAGCAGAGATTCTGGTGAAGTATTGGTTTGCTCTAACTTTGTAATTTGATGAGTGGATAGTTAGTAAGAAAAAAGCAAGCAAATCTTGAATTTGATTTAAAAGAACTAAACTCAGTGGCGCAACAGCCCATGAGGACCAAGACATACTGTGCCCATCTCAGTTTTCTTGACCTTGGGCACTGAGGTGCATAAGCAGATGTTCCGGTGAGGTGGTCAGTCTGAAGTGTTTAATTCTCAAGCAAACTTGGTACTCATTTATCGACCCACTGAAGGGATGAAAGGCTGAGTCAACTTTGCCCAGCCAATTTTTTAGTGAAAAATATAATGAATTCTGCATATTTAAAGAAGAAATTCAGAATTTGATGTTGCTTGAAGCTGAACACATGTAAAAACAAATAAGTACAAATGAAAAATGTGCATAAAATGTATAGAAGTAACCATAAGAGATTTGTGATATTAATTCAAATAAATCGAATTTTTAGAAAACTTAACAATACTAAGATATTCAGTTTAATTGATTAATCCTTAAAATTGCATTTTTAACATTTAAAACATAAACAAAAAAAGTGGAAAAATTTGAAACAAAAAATTATATATATATATTAGTTAGTGATAAAGCTAATATTTACTTAAATATTAATAACTTTATTAAACAATGCATTAAACATGGTTATCCTGCTAACTTTCTTTACAATTATATTTCTAATAGTTCTCAATGATATACAATTTGTATTAATAACTTATTGACATGTTTTATTACTGATAATTTTAACTAATTATACAATTATTAAATAGATGGTGCCACATGTTTAATAAATTAATAATATTATTTAAATATTTCTAGGATTCATTTATTTTCCACTAATATTTATATCAATATATATTTATGATTTTTTTAAAAGTACACACACACATATATATATATATTATTCTATCATAATTTTAGCTTAATGCGGAACTGTTTTCCCTCTCTTGTATTTGGCGGAAAACATAACCAGTTGTTACACTTTCGAAGTAAGTCTTACTATCTACATCTTGCATCGAATTTAAATCTATACTGTGAATACTAGTAGGCTATAATTTTATAATTATATTTTACTAATTTAGTAGTTTTATTTATAATATTTAAATTTCTCCTGTTATTCTTTCCTTTCCTCTTGATACATAGTATGACAAACTACAGGTGAAGGTTGGCTAGCCCCAAAACTTGTTTAAACTTGCAATCCTGGTTCCTAAGGCCAGGAGTTTGTTACTGTACTACTGTGCCTATTTCTTCCTATTTAGTATAGTTATCTTAGGTTCTATAGCTATCTGTTTATTTATATACTTTGGATTATATGTATATATATATAAAAGAAATATGTATTATTTATCAAAAACAAGAAATAATAGATAAAGAACATAACAAGAAATAGCATAATAAAAATATAAAAGCAGAACATGAAGAACAAAATTATAGAGAAATAAAAGAACTACAAAAAAGCAGAACCTAGCGAGTCAGAAAGCAATTTCGGACTTAGGACCGAATAAGTGGGGTTAAACTAGTTTAAAGGCACCAACCTTCCCCCTTTGCAACTCGGTAGGAAAATCAAACAAAATAAAATAAACAAAACATCAGAGTTCAGATAACTCAGAGAGCATGATAAAACCAATCACTACTATTATGTAACCAACTCTCCCAAAACTCTTAATGCAGAAAAATCACAAAATAATTATGTAAGAAAAGTAGAAAAATGCTAAAACAATTACATAAGAAAAGTATCATTCAAAAATTAATTTAACAAAATTTCTTTACTCACAAAGCTTTTACGAAG